ATATATATAAATATCGGGGCTGGGGTTGTGATTAATACTTGTTATTAAAGGATACATTAAATTGATCAGAAAGTGACAGTAAAGAAATGTATAATGTTACAAATTGTTTATTGAACTTTTTATTCAAAAAAGAATCCTGAAAAAAAAAACTTACACAAATATTAAGCAGCACAACTGTTTTCAACATTGCTAATAATAAGAAATGTTTCTTAGAATGATTTCTGATGGATCATGTGACAGTGATACTGAAGACTGGAGTAATAGCTGCTGAAAATTCAGCTTCTCTGTAATGTTCCATAACATATTTTGAAATATATTAAAAATAAATAAATAAGTGAAATAAATACTTTCACAATATTACTGTTTTTACTGTATTTTTGATGAAATAAATACAGCCTGGTTGAGCATAAGAGACAAAAATCTTACCCCCAAATATTGAAATGGTGGTATGTATGTTTTATGGTTGGTTATGACAATACAATATCAATGTCTTTAAAATGACTTTTGCTGTCTCTTGAATGTATCACGTTCTTTGTGACGTCATACCCACTTCCACTCTCTCTCATACACAAACATATGTATACACATATGCCTCATCTCCCTCTACCTCCATCTCCTTCTGGATCGGCCTGCTGATGGGAGATTAGAGATTAGCATCTTGTACCCACGTTTCTCCTGCCAATGAAAGCTTTTGACAGTGGGAGGGAGGCCAAAACCTCACTCTCTCCTCACTCTGCACAGATTCTTTTTCAGCACTTAAAGAATGTGAACTCTAGGCAGAGATTACCATCAAATAGACCTGAAGCCATTTTCATTATATGTCTTTTTTCTACGGTGGCTGAAGAGTAACATTTGGGAAAAAGATTAACGTTGGCTTGCCACTAACAGAACGAAACCCAACCCACGTTGTACTGACTACAATTTATGATGTTATAGGAGACACCGTGTTGTGTAACTTATATGTCATCTAAATGCTGAAAATATCAGTAGTGAAGTGAATGAAGTAATATGCATCAGTGGTTTTGGGAAGCCTGAGGGCTCTTGTATAGCAGGACACATTTTTTTCCAGTGCATTAACTATATCTGAGTAAGTGTAACAAA